GGGGGATTGTAGCTTCGCTGAGGGGGGGCCGGACCTGCTTTCTGATCGCTGGCCACGCCCCGCCCCCGTGAGTAGGGTCTGTTGGGGCCTGGGGGTCAGGCACAGCCCCCTGTGGCTTCCCACTGCAACCTGGTCCCTGCACAGCCTCTGGCCTGGTCTGTGGGAGTGCGCTGAGTGTTGTGGGGGCTCAGGTGATGGGGACCGGGCAGCCCCCTCCCAGGTCACCTGCTGTCATTGGGGGGACGTGGGCAGCCTGGGGGCCTCCAGAACTCCTTCACCCCGTGGGCACAGGGACCGGGGATCGGGCCCCACACTGTGCCTCACTGAGGGTCCTGTGGGGGCCCCGGCAGTGGACTCCCCACCGGTTAGCAGCCCTTTCTCCACAGCCTCCGTCACGGTGGGGGGAGCGGGGGGGAGTTCCCCGCAGTGCTGGAGTGTTTAACCCGAGAGGAGTCAGCCACGGCCCCACCCCCTTGACGGCCTGTCAGCAGGCGCCTCTCAGTGGATGCTTAAGGCCGCTGGGCGGAGATGCGGATTAAACAAACACCAGGCGACCTGGTGTGCTTTCCTGTGACCTTCCCACCTGCCACTCTTCCCCGAAACCCGCCCCCCACCCCCCAAACCTGCCGTCAGCCCCGCGTTCTCCGTCCTCCCCCCCAGTGGACAGAACCGCATATTCAGTTCTGGTTCCACAGGTTCCCGCAGGCTGGGCTCAGTCCCCGGCCTTGACCTTGACCCTGACCCGAGTGTTGGTGCGTACAGAGCTCCGTTCGGGGCCCTCAGTCCTGGCTGCTTGGGGGAGCGTGAGTCTTGTACATTTGCATGCACAGGATAAGTGGGCGCCACAGCCTCTTGCTCCCAAGCACCTCGGGCATCTATTTGCGATTCCTCGTGAATAAAGCGATTTTTAAAATATTACAAACCAGAGCCCACGGAGCCTCCGCCTTCTTAGAAGCGGACTGTGTAGGCCTTGCAGCTCTAACCTGGTGAAGCCGGCTTCTGCCAGGAGGTGTTGGGGTGTCTTTTTTTTTATTGATCTCAGAGAGGAAGGGAGAGGGAGGGAGAGAGAAACATCAATGAGGAGAGAGACTCATCGATCTGCTGCAAGCAGTGCATGTGCCGTGACAGGGAATCGAACCCTGACCTGCTGGTTCATAGGTCAACGCCCCACCCCTGAGCCACGCGGCTGGATGTGGCTGTCTGTATTGCGTCCGTCTCAGGCCGTTTCCTCTTTGCGCTGTGGCTGGAGGGCCCCGAGCAGGGACGTCAATCCGGCTGTCCGTCCATCAGACGCATCCGGGCTGCGAGGGCCGTTTAAGACTTGGCTTTCCTTGGGCACCTTCGCTGCCCCATTCGGAGTCTTTGTTAAACTCGTGTTTCCTGCCATCACTTTATTTACTTATTATTTTTCTAATTCTCACGAGGTTATTTTTTCATTGATCTTTAGAGAGAGTGGGAGGGAGGGAGGAAAGGGAGAGCTAGAGAGAGGAGCGTTGATGTGAGAGACACACATCAATTGGTTGCCTCCTGCACATGCCCGACTAGGACTGGGGGTCGAACCTGCAACCGAGGTCCGCGCCCTTGACCCGGAATCGAGCGTGAGATCCTTTGGTCCACAGGCTGACGCTCTAACCACTGGGCACACCGGCCAGGGCTTCCTGCCACCGTTTTCCTCATTAACTGGGACCTTGGCAGGGTCCGTGAGACCAAACACGTTCCGAGAGTCGTTGAACTCTATCGACCTGTTTTTATAGCTTGAGGTCGCCCCGCCCCCCCTCCCCCCAGTCATAGTTGGCCCACAGGCGGCCTTGCCCGCCCTCCCCAGCTGGCGGTGCTGCTCCTCCCTCCGCTCTGTGCAGCCTCCCCCACCACCGGGGGCTGCTGAGACGCAGGGCGCCCGGCTCCGTGGGGATTCGGACGGCTCACTTTTCACTGTCTTCCTCTTGCCACCCGTGGGAGACGCGCAGCCTGAAATGGAGCTGCTGTTTATGCTGAACGCGGGCGGACCCGCCCCGTGCTCCCCGCGTCGTCCGGGGTTAATAAGTAAACACCCCAGGTGTGTGCATTTCCCAGGGACCTGCCGATCCAGGAGGCCAGGCCCATGTGAGGTCAGGACCCCGCGCAGGCCTCGGCCTCCTGGGATGGA